GAAATGTCAAGCATGGTCTTAAGCATAGAAGGAACTTGATCTCCCTTAGTTCTCTTCATCAAAAGGTAAGTGGCAAGGGTGTCGTAGTCACAATGAGAGCACAAAGGAAGACATCTAAACTTTACATTCTTGCAAGCACACATTCTTATGGAAGATGTAGCAGTACAGCCAAAGTCCATTTTTTATTCAGATCTCACGAAGCTATAGTATCTTCACTTGAGTTATATGAGCTACAATGACAAGACTGAATCAAGTCAAAGGGGTTTACTTGGTGGTCACAACCAAGGTTATAAAGAACGGAAACAAGCCTTGAGGCGTTTTCCTCTTAGGTACGTGAGGTGTAAGCCTCGAGGAATAACCTCTAAAAAATTAAAACAAAATCTGTAAATCCACAACACTTGTAAAAAACAATTTTATATCTTCATACCGAATACACAAACTATAAAGACCATATTTCAATAAATACTACTTGTTATAAGTAGAATATGTATTAATGTATATATATATATATATATATATATATATAACAGATTATACATAATTTATATATATGTATATAAACAAACTGTACAGAATTTATAAATATATATAAGCATATTATACATAATTTATGTATAAAACAATATATATATATATATATATATGTATAAGTTTGAAATAATGAAGAATATATGCATATTCACGAGGCAGAAATAGTACATATGTTACAAGTCCACTCTCTTGGATTCAGCACTAAGTGGAGAATACAAAATTATATTCTAGCATCGTTGGGAGAAGAAAAAAGGATTATATACATGCATGCTTGTGATTGTGTGAAAGAGAGAGGGATTAAAGCACTTAAGTGATGCTGATGTTTGACTACAAATGCCACTATTTACTTAAAAAAAAGACCTACATGACTCCATTTAGCAGAGACGTGCGCCTATGATTCGTCTCACCGCTTAACCACTGTCTTACACATCCAATGTGTATGGGTCAAAGGAGGAGGCGCCGCCTCATACATGAAATTCGCCTTGAGGCGTGCGCCTCTGCCATTTTTTAAAACAATGGTCACGACGTGAGTGACTTGCAATTTTGTGAACGTTGTGTATTCGACATGCAGAATAAAGCCACTTGACTACAATGGGGACCGGCTAGAGTCACTTCCATTCGTGGTCTGTTGTAAATGCTCACAGTCATAGATGCTTTTTCAAGAAAAGTATGGTCTTTCTTCTAAAGCACAAGGGAGATTTTTTGTATACATTCAAAGAATGGAAGGTTATGGTTGAGATGCAAACAATGGAAGGTTATTATGATTGAGAAGCAAACCAATAAAAAATCTTGTTTTTTTATAGATAAGATAATGGGTTGGAATTTGCTTGGAGGAGTTTAATGTCCTTTGTAGAGAGAAAGGCATTATTAAACACCATACCATTGTTCATAGTCCTAAAAGATTGGTGTGGTGGGAAGAATGAACCACATAATCATTGAGAAGGTCCATTTTATGCTTTGGAAGTCCGAGTTGCCAATGTCCCTTTGTTTACATTTAATCACTAAAGTTACCTTTGATGAGTCCATATTACATGATGCATCCACCTCATCATCTTTTAATGATGGATCTAAAGCCAACAAGGAGAAAACTGTCACACCATACACCCTGCCTCGATTGGTGATGTGTGTAGTTGTTACATTCATGTATCAAAGCATCCATACAATTTATTTGCGGAAGTTTTTAACATATTCATATATTTTTCAAAACACATAGTCATGCCCAATAGATCAAAATTACAAAGAAGGTACCTAATAAACACTTCTAATACATCATATCACCAAGCCTTGACTCAGATGATCCTATCATTTAAGAAGTGAAACAAAACTATTCAGTCCCAACTTAGTAAATGTTTGACAGCTTCGTCGAGCTATACGTCCAATGCTACTCGTTAGTGCATATGTCCGTGGTACATGCATACTTTTCTTAAGCAAATAATTTCTGAGTGATTACATACTTACATGTTTAGCATATGACATATATTCATGCCATAATCATATGAACATATAAGCATTTTCATGTATGCACCAAACTGACAATTTGAATTTATTATCGACAAGTGTTTCAAAATCCCCTAGTGAAACGTCCAAGAACATAACAACGACCCCTTTCTAGAATTAGATCCTATTAACCTGGATTTTATGGTTGTTCATTCTTGTTCGTTTGTCCTTTCATGAATCCAAACTCCACGAACCACATACCCATGAATGATTTCGTTGTCAATGTCACTACTCTAAACCTGAGTCCGGTTTGATGTTTCAGTTACTAGTTTGCCAAGACTACCTTGTGCTTTCTCCTTTCTTGCAACTTTATGAACTCTCCCTTTCCTTCCATGGTACTGTATGTGTTTTTTGTTCTGCTTGAAAGCTCAAACGAATAAGGGGAAAGAAAGAAAAGCATTCCTATGTATATATATGAGGGTAAAGATGTGGCATTAAATGCCCTTCTCAACCGTGGCTTCATATTAAGGATTATCCAAGGATAAAGTGCCACATAATGAGGTTTAGTGGCTTTTCTTGCATACAATTATATATATATATATATATATATATATATATAGGGAAAGGTTCAAACGAGAACACCCTAATCACATGTGATACTATATTCCATCACATATGATACACATGTGATACTAAATCAGAGACGCAAACCACTTTTGATGTGGTCTAGGTTGTGGGGCAAGTCGCCCTAACAGCACTAGGCCCCCTCACGTGTATTATCACATATGAGAAGGGTGTTTTTGATGTGATACTATAATCCATCACATGTGATACTAAATCATAGACGCAAACAACTTTTGGTGCGACCTAAGTCGTTACACGTCATCCGTACACCACCAGGTCCCTTACGTGTATTATCACAGTGTTCTCGCATTCTCGTAAATGGAGGTGTTCTCGTTTGAACCTCCACCTACACACACACACATATATATATATAAATATATTTTAAGGTTGGGTTCAGGTGAGAAGGAGAGTTAAGGTGAGAAGTGTAAGAAGGGATCTCCACCCTTGGATGCACATTAGGATGAGATGCATCGAGATGCACCGGATCAATCCTCACATCAAGCGCGATTCGTGGGTGGGTTTGAGATTAAAGGTGATCAAGGGTCTAGATCCCTTCTTACGCTTCTCATCTTAATTCTCCTTCTCACGATCCTTCACCTTATTCTCTAATATCATTCATTTAATTATTTTAGTGTTTTTGTAACACTTAGCTTTTGTTTACTATCTTATATCACATAATCCCTTGTACAAATCTAAATACATTGTTGAGTTCGTTGTGTTTTTTCTCTCCACATTTTGACATATAAAAGTCACAATGTGATCCGCAACCTATAGAATGTATTTCTCGACTTCAAAGGCACACTTTCTTAGCATCATCGGAAAGCTTATTATTCATAAATCCTTGGTCTAAAATATGGTGAGCATCGACTTCGTGTAGCATTGAGAGTTCACACATGCGTTCAGTGGTTTTCAATTTGGTTCGTTTTGTATATGTTGTTAAATTCTATAACTGATCACATCGTTGTCATCGTTCTTGTTTCGTAAGTCAAAATATATAGTTCGTTCAGCCTCAAACCCTATCACATCATAACATGCATCTATAATGTATGTAATTTGAACTATTTAATTGGTTTACCGATGTTTGATTCTATAGAACTGTTAGCCTCAATATGGATGCTTTATGATAATCAAAGCACCATCTTCTTGACTAAAGATCATATGTTCCATGATAGAATAAAAAACATTGACGGGACTTCTATTGTTTAAGTGAAGTGATTGCTCGCAGTTATTTCAAGTTTGAGCAAAATCAACACTAATGATAATCCAACTGATATGATGGCCACATGTCATTTTATGACCAACTTTGACTTGTGTTTGAACATAGTGTGAGCTTTGAGATTGGGCTTTTGGCCAAGGAAGTATAATGTGTTTGAGAAGTGTTTTTGCAAATGTTTTATGTTTATCAATTAAGCTATAGAAATGTGTGTATTAGAGTATTAAGCTATAAAATGTGTGTGTATTAGAGTACTAGAGTGTAAGGGTAGTTTGGCAATTTCTATTATTTTTGAAAATGAGGAAAACTTATTTCTTAGATCTAATAATATTTGTGGCATTCTTATTGCTGGATTTGATTCTCTTCCTCCAAAACGAGAAAACACAGATCCAGATCCAAACAACCATTTCATGTTCGAGATCGATCCATTTCGATTCTCCATGAGTTCTGAGTTGGATTTCGATTTTGCATCCGAGCAAATATAAATTACCAAACTACCGTTACACTCTAATACTCTAATAGTTCTCGGCATCCCTCGCCCATGATTTTTCCAGAATGGGTTTTCCACATAAGAATCCCATTGTCTCTACATTGTATTGTGTTTGCTATTGTGTTTTGGGATGGTTCACATTGATCTTTTTTCTGAGCATCGTTTTTAGTTCCCATCTTTTATGTATTGAAATCGATATCAAATGATTTATATTACAGTTGCTTGGAACAGTTGATTTTTAGTTTGGCTTTGCGATTGGAAATCATAGTCAAGTGTTTAGCTGGAGTTATTTTCGCTACAATTTCAATCCTTGTTTTCATATGCATAAACTATTTACATGCTGCGATATTATTTTGAACAGGAATCCAGTTGAAAAGAAATGTTTGAATTTGCATGACGTCCAACAGAAAACAGGAGTTGATATGATCTCACCTACTTCTTGACAAACCTTTCATATATGTTGTTTCCATACACTTGATGAGAAGTCTTTGAAACTATGAAGCATGCAATTCTTAAGTCATATTTTTTATATTTTGGTATACTTCTTTCTTATTTGCAGTGTTTTAAAATGTGGATTTTGATAACAAAGATATTGGGTGGCGGGAGGCACACTATGGCATTAACATTTGAATTATATCTTCTAACATTGGGATTGGATGTTATTTGTATAGATGATGTATTTAAATGTGGCTTTTGATAACACAGATCTCGGGTGGCTGGAGGCACACTATGGCGTTAACATCAGACGGAAAGCTTTTTGGATGGGGATGGAATAAGGTTGGGGTGCAAATTTTCTAAGGATTTTTATAATGTTATCACCATATTTCATCACAAGTTAAATACACCGAGCATTGTACTCTTTCTTCAGTTTCTAACTTATCTTTATCTTCGTACTGCTTGCTTTTTCAATTCACATGTTGTTAGACTTTCTTTGTGTGAACTTGGCAATGAGGTAGAGATAGAACTATAGTGAAGGTGTCATATTGGCGGGTGTGGGCTGGGTAAGAGAGACAGTGTTGAGATGGCAATGTTAGACGGTCCCATGGTTGTAATGGGCCAGAGAAAAGATGGATAAACGCATGTTTTTCTTTTGACATGTTACCTTCTTATCTGCCTCTACACTTACCAAATATCACCCCCAACCAACGTGTGCTGCATTGACACCTTTAGGAAAGCGCAATCTGGGATATTGGATCATGTGATGATCAGCGGGAGTGCCTGAAATATGAATATTAAAGCATGGAGAAATAGGAATGTTTTGTTTTCATTAACTTATCTGATTTTTGGCATTTATATTCATGGGCTACAGGATTTCGTAATTTCTTAATTGGTAATTTACTTGTTTGAATAACCTTCTCAAGAACATGACTTAAATTATATAAATATCGAACAATACTTGAAATCTTACTTCCATCACCTTTGGTGGTTAGGTTTTGTTACTGGGTAGTAGAACATGGTGCTTGCTTTCTCTGTCTCCACATAAACCATATACATTCCAATATACCTGAGAAATAGGAGGATCCTGATTTCATGTGCTTGAGATAGCACAATCTAATCAGAGGTCTTCTGGGAGTTCATGATGGATCATTGAGAGAGATGAAGTTGTAAGTATTTTATGTTTTGCTTTGATGACTCAGTTTTCTGGAAATGCAAAAGTTTGGATAGGGGTTGGCTGTAGCGAGTTGTGGGTTGGCATGGGCAGGTGAGAATGTGGCACAGATGCAAGTGAACCAGAGCCTGTTGTCCCTCCTTTAGTTGTTTAGCTGACTCCCAAACAGATGAATCCGCATCTATCTGTGCCTATAACACCTCTCATAAAGAACAAAAGAACTATGCACCCTCACAAATAATGAACATATTTGAATGATCAACTATATGTCATTTATCTTCTAACTGGTCGTAAATTAATGTACGCTTTTAATATACACGGTAAAAAACTTTTACTTTGTAACCTAAAAAAGAAGGTACTGGGCTATCCATACAAACCTTAGTAAGCAATATGCAATCTTACTTGCAAATGTAGTTTTATACATGCATATATCTTAATAAGTACATATAATAATCACCCTTGGTCAACTTAATATATCAAGCAGACTAACCCCATCTATTTGTGCCTAAACAACCTCTCATAAAGAACAAAAAGAAATATATACACTCATAAATAATGAATATACTCAACTATCTCATTTATCTTCCAACGGGTCATTCATCAATGTATACTTTTAATATAAGCAGTAGAAAAGTTTTATTTGGTGACTAGAAAAGAATGTATTGGTTTATCCATACAAACCTTGGTAGGTAATATGTACAGAACTAATTGTAAGCATGCATATAACATATTTATACTTCAATAAATACATACAAAAACACACTCACTCTTGGTCAATTTTATATATCAAAAGCAGTATTTCACAGGAGCCTTTACTCGAGTGATAACTTCTTGTAAGCTTATATAGCCTTGTTATTATTGGATTTATATAGGTAATAGTGCAATCATCTCCTGATGGTAGTTCTTGGAGATGCAGCACCAGGGTAGTAGATTTTTTTTGGGACTAGTATCTGTTATAGATGGGAGAGGGTTAGAGATAGTCCTAGAAGGGTTAGAGGGAGGGACCTGGTCCTAGTAGATTACTACATTTTAAGTTGTTTATTGTCCTCCTTGTTTTTTCACTTGTGTCCTTTCTGCCTTTACTGCTTACTACTCTTGATGCCTGTTTGCAGACATTTTTATCGTACTCTTCAAAACTTTCAAATTTAATGTTTCTCTCATGACTTCCCAAAACTTTTTTCACAAGCCAGGGTCTTCATGGAAATAGCCTCTTTACCCCTTGGCGTAATGGAAAGATGTGCGTACATCCTAACCCTCCATATATACTGGTTTGGTTTGGTTCGGTTCAATCATTCCTCCTAATTGTCGGATCTTTGCATGCTATAGAGACTTTGGGCTTTCGTCTTCTGACAACTATCTGCAGCCTGCCCACAAGGCTGTGGTGGGCAGCATTTAGCCTTTAGTATATTTCGAAATTAAATTTACCAAAAAATGAATGTCAACTGAAAGAAGAAATTATGCTTTCTGTCTTATATATATATATATATATATATATCAAATGATACATTGGATGGTCTAAATATATACTACAGCTTAGAAACAAATCCCCTGAATTATGGCCTAAAGACCAGGAAAGGGATTGTGCCATTCCCTGTAATATCAGGAAACAGTACTCCTAAATTAAGCCATTTCTCAATCATTAAGTTCGAGATTTCAACATGAACATGAACAGTTTTGTTTAGTGATCGTGAGCAGTAAAATTCCATATTTTTAGCTTGTTGATGATAGTTTTCAATGGATTTTGACCTATAGTGTCGTATCTGAAATTTTGACCTATAGTGTCGTATCTGAAGGTCAGTTTTGGTTGTATTCAATTGTTCCTAGGGGGGTACAGAAGGATATTTGACTGGAATTAGGTCTCTAATTGAATTTTTACTTTATGAAGCTGTGTTGATTACTTAATGCTTCAGCAACCTTTTTACATCAGAGCTCCAATCTTGTGCCTTTTAGTCGCATGATGATTTTTTCTTAGGAGTCTCAGTATTTTCCATTTGCTTAAGAAAAAAGTTCAAAGATTATTGAGAGGCATATCTACCTCATATTACCCAGAACCTCTTCGAGTACAGCCAGGACGACAAATGGATCCATAATGAACAAGGTGATGACTAACATGAAGCATCTAACATTCCATTAGTTCAGCTTGTAACAAGCCAAAAGTCTGACTTGGCCAGCTTCCCTTCAACGCAACTGAAAAAAGGAGCAAATTTGCAATTCTGAAGGGTCAGTTAAGAACTTTTCTCCTTGCTGGTTAGTGTAAGCTGTTGAATTACTTGTAGTACATGGAGAGCTAGGCTTCCTGGCTTGTAGATGGCTTTCTGAAGTAGATATCGAGTAAGGAAGCTACCTTCTCTGTTGTGTATTTAATGAGATATGTTCCTTCCTGATTTTTATGGAAGCCATAGCTTTCTTTGTGTTCAAGGCAGAAATGTACTTTTTGTTCAAAGGAGTCAGAGTACAACCATCATCAAGTTGAGTGTCCTTAAATGTTGAGGAAGGCTTAGAGGTCATGGTTTTTGTGGGAAATCCAAGTATCCATTGGTTATTCAGGGACCATGATATTCCCTTGTTTGTGGTTCTCAGTATGTAATCACGAATAGAAGGGTCTTGTATGGAGATTTCTAAAGGAAGAGGTTTCAACCAACAACTTGGTTTTGCTTTTCTTCTTTTCAGGGGAGTTTAGGAGGGGAGCATATGTGTCACTCCCTTAAGTTTAAGGTTGGAATCAAATCATGCAAAATCTTCAAGTTCAAGGAAGTCTTGTGGTATACCCCTTTTACCATAATAAGAGGTTATAGTGGATGGTATGGCTATCTCACATTTCTAGTTGCTTTCTTCCATGAATTGAAAAAGTTACATCTCATATAGGGTACAAATGCTATGGATTGTTGTTTAGGCTATATGTGATTGCCTAAGACCTTTGATATTGTGTTAGTTTGAGTAATTGCTCAACTCGTCACAATTTGGAGGTCGTCCTAATGTGTGTAGCAGAGTGCTCCCTATGCTATTGCTCATCTATATGGTGGTGAGTTGTTACATGAGGGTTCTTGTTTCTTAGCCTATAAATATAGCAATCACATTATTATTTGTGTGCTCTATACTAAGCATGTTCTCCATGAATGCTAACCTTGGCATTCAGTTGAATCTTTCGACAACTACGAGGAAGAAAGATCTTTGATTGTTGACTTCCGTTGAATGTCAATTTATCATGATCAATGCCATGTGCATTGGTCACTTTTCGTCTTTATAATCTTTCATAGTGGATATTTAATAGCAAATACATATGTGAGGATGAACCCATTGATTAGGCAGCTGTGGGCACCCTCTCTATTAAGGACTTCTCATGTATACATGTTGAAAATATCTTTATTTTGTTGTTGATGACGACAAAGAAATTGGAAAGAAATGAAAGGTTAGAGAAAGACAAAGAAGAATGAGAATAGAGAAAAAATGAAGATGGTTCTTGTATTGTTGTGGTACTAACTGTTAATTCTACGCCATAATCTGGTTATAAGCCTCACTGCAAGATATTAGCAATGTCAGACATCAAAATAACCATTCCAAGCAGAACTGACACTTCTTTCTAGAGCTATATATTTTGCTTTCTATTTTTGTACCCAGTGCTTTAAAATGCAAAGTGAATAAAATTTTGTAATTTTCTACTCATGCACTGTGACAAACATGGCCGGTATAATTGTGAATTTGTTAAACCAAACCAAACAACTAGGGTCTGGGGGGGTAGGATGTATGCAGAGAGGTTGTTTCCATGAAGAACCCTGGCTTGCAAAACAAAAGATAACAGGGAACAAGTGTGGTAATTAGCAGCGAAGTGTGCAACCAAACAACAGGTACAATATATAAAATATGTTGTTCGTTTTGAACAGAGGTGGTAATATATCACTTGAGCCTTTAGCTTGTACTTCATTGTTGTTTATTCGCATAATTTGAAGACTGTTGTTGCTGACACTTCTCCTGTGCACAGTTTGGGCAGGTGGGCGTCGGCGACAATCAGGATCATTGCTTTCCTGTGCAAGTCAAATTTCCAGATGAGCAGGCACATCATTTTTCCATGTGACGTTGCTTTCTTTCATGTCTAGGGGATTAAATTATTATATCATCTAACAGTTCATCATCTATAGTAAGTTTACTTTGTATGTCCTTGTCTGTTGGCAGAAAGTAGTTCAGATTTCATGCGGATGGAGGCACACACTTGCTGTTACCGAAAGACATAATCTTTTTTCCTGGGGAAGAGGTACAAATGGACAGCTTGGGCACAGGGAGGCTATTGACAGGTATCTTTCTCTCTCTCTCTCTCTCTCTCTCTCTCTCTATATATATATATATATATATATCTATATAGGGGAGCGATCAAATGCAAACCACTCAATTTGTACAAACCGTGCAAACCGCATTCAACCAATCATAATTTTTCATTTTGTTCATTTTTTTGTAATTATGAGAGGTTGATTAATCATT